AGAGAGAGAGAGAGAGAGAGAGAGAGAGAGAGAGAGAGAGAGAGGGAGGGAGGAGTCATAATTTATTACTAACGAAAAGAATAACTTCTTAAAAAGATCATAATTTTTTATTTTAATAAATAATTCATTCCTTTATCTTTTACATTTCTTTATATACGTTCATCTCCGTATGTTATATGTATATTTATTTGCGCAATATATAATTTTATACGCAACAGGAAAAAAATGCAGTGTAAACATAAACGGAGATATAATTCATGTATTTCTGCAGGAATATATAATTTTCTACGCAACAGGAAAAAAAATGCAATAAATTTCCAGTTTGTCATAGTGACTCTCCTTATTTCAAGCGCGCGCGCGCTTTGAGCGTTACCGACTCAGCGTCGAGAAGTCAAGCCATTACTATGACCCAGCGAATTAATGCTCCGCACTGTACATATCTAATAGTTTGACTTTGGATGGAGTCCATAAGATCATATGTGAAGGTTAGAGTTTGAATTTTTCAAATAGAATCCTTCGTTTTTATTGCATATTTTTGTAACTTATTACAAAATTTTCCCCAACACTTACATATACAATTCTCTGAATTGATGGTATAACTAAAAAAGACTTTATTTGAAAAAAAAGAATAATGTTGAAAGTTGGAAAATTAATATATTTGTTTGTTTAACGAGTCGATTCTAAGCAGAATCATAACATGCATTCGTAATACTTTTAAGAACTTTAAGTATTTATAACTTTATGGAACATCTTTACAGATAGCTTCTTGCAGTAAAATTTACGAGAAATCGTAAATATTTGTGATCATACATGTGCATAGAATTACAATACCAGTTATAAGTTTTGATAAGCTTTACGAGAACAAGTTACGAGTCTTACGATTCTTTAGAGAATTGACCCATAAGCTTGAATGATTTTTAACAACTTTGCATCATCGATATCATCTCAACAGATAGAGATTATTAAAATAAATATGAGATACATTTTCTTATTGTATTTTTTAAAAAATACGAATGATTTTAATATTTTACGTATAAATTTTTCAGTCATTAAATTATTTTAAAGTTTTATTGAGTAGAATGTTACACATTTTTTATTTATGATCGTAATGATACGATATCGTAAAAAATTGTCATTTATCGCAGTTTCTCAATTTTTAGCATTATGTGTCATTATTGCCCATATTCATAGTAAGTATGCTCTACGAATCATCTGAAGATAAATTTAAAGAAGTCTTAACTCTGTCTTATTTTTATTGGCTACAGAACCTACAGAACATCTGAAGCCTTAAATATAAGGCCTGATTATGAATACGGGCACACGACTATTTAAAATAGATTTTTATTAAAAGTAATTAAAGAAAATATAATTTTCTGAATATAATTAATTTTTAAATAGTGTAACTTATGCAATTCATAATTTGCGGAAGTGTTCTTTTTCAATCGCTCATCACTTTTAACCGAAAAGAATAAAAAACAGAATCTTATTACATCTATACATATAAAATTAGGTAGAATAAAAAGCATATGCAGAGGCAATATACAGCAACACGATAAGTCTAGAACTATATTAATAGAATATAAAAATTTAAAGATTAAGAATTTTTACGACAGTAATAGAAATCTGATATTTACAATTTAGTTTCTTGCAGCAATGCTACTCATTCATTGTGTCAGATGATATATAATGATAGTGAAATAAATATTCGTATCAAGCAAATTATAACTAATAATAAATTCGGGGACTAAAAAAAGAAAATTTTGAATCATCACAGTAACAAAAATGCAACTGTAATGTATGTTCATAAAATTGTAAAAAAATAATCAAATGCATAAAAAAAATAAAACAATTTTTTAAACAATGATAAATGTTACGTAATCATCAGATAATATACAGGATGTCCCGTAAGTTTTGGGATACGCTTTTGTGTAGATAGAGCGGACTAAACTGAGTTGAAAAGTCTACCATTTTGCAATTTTCGTAATGGTTAACGAGATATTAATTACTAAAAATTACCGAATATTTGATCTTCAATAATTTTTTACTCAAATATTATCAACTTTATAGAAAAACAGCAAGAAACAAAAATTGTTTATTTTCTTCTTATAAAGTTCTGAGAATTTTTTCAGAATTTTTTAATACCGTATTTTCTCATGGTGGTAAAAATAAGAAAATGCAGTACTGAAACATTGATAAAAACTTCAAAAAAAATTTTTAGAGTTCTATAAGCAGAAAATAAATGATTTTTGTCTCTTGCAGATTTTCTGTGCAGTTGATAGTATTTGAGTAAAAAAATTATTGAAGATCAATATTTAGCGATTTTTAGTAATTAATATCTCATTAACCATGTTGTGAAAATTGTAAAATGATACAGGACTTTTCGATTCAGTTTAGTCCGCTCTATCTATACAAAAGCGATTGGCCAAAACTTACGGGATACTCTGTATATCGTATATCGTGATGATGTAGCACTTCAATTATAGACTGAATTACGATCATATAAAAGCATTTTTCATTTTTACGACTCTTAAAGATAAGAATTTGTATTTTCAGTTCTACATTTATTCACATTACTTATTTCATTTTAGTTCTATAAGTGTGATATTTTATTTTGTTTGACATCAGGTGAGTGATT